ATTTATTTGTACGCATATACATACATACCCCCATACCCATTCATTGTTATTGCAGTTCCTGATAAAATGGAACCACGTATTATTATTTTCATGTAGATCATATGTAATTATAATATACCACGCAAATCATGAAATCATATATTACCATGTTTGTCAAAAATGAACTTAATAAAATATTTTCATTTGCATAAACAAAACCGAGTCGTAAAGAAAAGCATTTTTTTGATCTCCATAAACTACATTCATTACTATTCATATTCATAAAAATGTCTATTAACCCAAATTCTCTGAAAACTAAGAAGAAGCAAGAATTAATAGGTATGTACAATGCTTTTGGATCCTTATATCTGTGTTTTTACTTCCTAGTGTTTGTCGATTAAGATCTGTTTAAACAATGAATGGAACTGTCTCCATAGAAATCGCCGAAGATCTTGGCTTAGATTCGACTGGTATTCGCAATGATCTTATAGATAGGATTAGGTACTAAGTTATATGATATTCTATATTTGTTCGCATATTAATCTTGTTTTCTTTACGATATTTAGAAAACATTGGGAGACAAAAAATGAAGAAATTTCTACAGATATTGATCCAATAGGTACTTCGTCAAGTCGTCCAGATTCTAAATTTAGTAGTAGCAGTAAACCAACTACTGAAATACAAAGTATTTCATCTCCAAACGGTGAAAGGTTCGCGACTCAAATTATCTGTGGTACTATTTTATAATGTAACTTAACCTATTTTACTAATCTTAGAGAACCAGAAGAGTCAGAAACTTCTGATAGTGATAGCAAACAGGTGTGAACATTGCAAACCCATTTAAGATCTAGCCATATTTAAATCACTAATTGACTTCGAAAATTAGCAGGAAATTACTATCAATGCTAGGTCTCAGGATACATCAAGCTCCGATGAATCTAACATTGAATCTGGTACATCGCGTGGTTTGCCAATAGCAAGGATTCCGGAGGTTCAGACTATAAACGACCTTCTACTTCAGTTGAGAAATGTGGGTGTTCAAGACTAGCATTATACTATGCAAAGTATCATTAAATGCCAATATTTATAACAGGTTGTTTTTTTTTTTTAGAATGTTTCAAATTCGCGGACGTTTGTGCATTGCGTCATACTGTGTGAACTTGTGGTTTTCTTATATTGCGCGATCGAGTGGAATTTTACAGTTCGTTAATTTATATTCATATACTCTAAAATTTTCAAATTTTTCGTAATTATACATCTCAATCGTTGATATTTCTATAATTCTTTTTTTTTTTATTACAGATTGCCATTGTTCCCATTCCATCTATCTTAAAAGACTCAAGAGATGTTTATGATATACGTGTGCCGGATTTCTTCTTTGTTGTCGAATGGCATCGTTTTTGGCGTCCATTGCTTTCGTTTTTGTTTTATCTATTTGTTTTGCCACTTTGCTTTTCATATATATTCAATCTTGAACCTCAACGACACGCATATAGCCCACTTGCATTTTCAGTTGCACAATACGGAATATTTTTTACTACTGCTGGTCATTTCGATTGGGCTGAGGACGTGCGTGATTTTATTCCTGACAATCTTATTTACACTGGTGCTGGATCTGCTGTGATTTTTTCACTTTATGAGAGTATTTTGAGCATGTCTCGAACTTGTTAATGGAATAAGCATGGTTTTGGTGAGGCTTGTTTCTTTCAAAACATTGATGTTGAATTAAGCTTATTAATTTACATTTAGCCATATTATAATTTTTTATTTTATCTGTTATATTCATTTTAATTTTGTGTATAGTCATAAGGAAGGCACTTCTACTACAGTTTATAAATTAGATATAGAAATATAATTACAATAATCATGCATTTATTAGATTTACAAATAAAACAAGGCTTTTAGTTTTACAATTTAATAAATTCATTAGTTTTTGATTGTTAATTTGATTTTTTTTAATATTTACAACTTTACAGGTTTTGTATATTTAGTTTATATATTTGAACAGTCAATTTTGTACAAGTAAACAGTCAAGTTTGTACAAGCTAACAGTCAAATTTGTACAAGCTAACAGTCAAGTTTATATATTTGGTTACTTAATTTAATATAGTTACATATCTAATTAACTGTGATTTAGTAATTATAATATAATTTTGGTATTATTAGTTTTATCTTATTGAGATGAATCTAATAGTATTAAAATTATAAATAGTAAATGACTGTTGCTAACTTGTCCCCGGGTAATGTCACCCGGGATACTGTATCTCAAAAACCTACTAGCTAACTCACATCAGAGATACTAAGCAAAAATGTTTAAAATCCAAAATCTAATTCTAATTAAATTTAAACCTTTATATTTAACTATTTTTTTTTAAACTGTGCTATAACTCTAAATTAAAGGTAACATTATTACTGGTTAAAAAAATTTTTTTTAATTTTTGTAATAAGGTTATACCTTTAACTTTATTAAAATTCAATTGAGTTTTTTTACAAAATTAATATATAGAAAAGATATTATTTAAAAAATATTAAGACTAGAGACTTAAACACAATACTATATTAACATAATTATTTGTAGTTTAAATCAGGATTTAGAAAAACCTACAAAGAATTCAGATATTTTTTTTTACTTTTTCAATGTTGTGAACAGGTAAATTTTTATTAAATATTTTAGTAATATATTCTTGATTAATGAAAGTATATTTAGTCATATATGCAACTTTTGGTTGTCTATTTAAGTAGTCCACCCAAAGGTTTTATACTATATGCTGTATCTGTAACCTAACTAGGAGATTACCTATTTAAACTTTTTAATATTCTTTATTCTGCACTACTACTTCAATTATATCGGTCTATAATCTCATACTGCTTCAATTGAAGACTACTCAGATCAGCATGTACTATACTATTTGCATCCCAATTCTATAAATAATCTAATAGGATTCTTATACTATCAGATCATCCTAGAAAAGGTATAGTATATACTCTCTTAATTTTTTTATATTTTATGCATTTTCAGATTAGGTTTCGAATATTTTCTGCAGCAGCTGAAACTACTACTAGCAGTTAGAGTTAATCATTAAACTACACAATTCTGGTATTCATATCTTTATAAGATTTGTTTCAATTTCTATATCTGTTTCAAATCAGTCTTTATACCAATTTATCCCAAATTTTAAACCAGTGTTATAGAATGAGTTGTAGTATTAGTTTTATTATTAAGTTTATTATTAGTTATTATTAGTTATATTATTAGTAT